CTATGTATGCTTTGTCTGCTAATGCTGAGGGTGACTGTTACCTCTGTGTGCCGCCTGACCCAGGTATAGACACTGCTGCTCTCGGTGCTAGTGAGTCTGTTCTCCCTGGTACTGCGCCTGCTGAGGCCTTGCACACCTTCACGCTGGACTCGGGTGCCTCACGCTGTTTCTTTCGTGAAAGCACCACCCTCTTTCCTCTCCCTGCACCTGTACCAGTCAGGCTGGCTGACCCGTCCGGGGGCCCAGTCCTCGCCCATTCCTCCACTGTGCTCCCGTGTCCGGCGGTTCCGTCCGGCTCACAGTCAGGCCTTCACCTCCCCTCGTTGTCTACGAACTTGGTGAGTACCGCTGCCCTCCAAGACGTGATGGTCACTACCACCACTCCCGGGGGTCAGCGTGTGTCGATCTGCACGTGTACACGTACGGACCGTCACCTGGCCACGTTCACTCGTCGGCCAGGGTCGAGTCTGTACACACCGGCTACCGAGCCTCCTCATGTAGCTGCGTCAGCCTAGGTGTCAGCGTCAGGTCAGGTAGCACCCCCTTGCTCGTGTCGCCTCCTATCAAACCAGACCCTTCTATGGCACCACCGCCTGGGTCACCCCTCCCTGCCGCACCTTCGTGCCATGCACTCCCGCCTCCTTGTCTCTGGTCTTCCCAGGTCTCTGCCTCCCCTCCCACCCTCGCCTGCCCCACCCTGCCTTCCTTGTGTCGAGGGGCGGCAGCGCGCCGCTCCTCAATCCTCCTCGTTTCCCGCGACGACTGCTCCCCTGCAGACTCTCCACATGGACGTGTGAGGCCCAGCCCGCATCAGTGGACAGAGCCGCGAGCGCTACTTTCTGCTGGTTGTTGACGACTACACGCATACACCACGCAGCAAGGGTCAGGTCGTTGATGTCTTGATCCCTTGGATTCGCGCAGTCCGTCTTCAGCTCTGCGAGCGGTTCCGTACGGACCTTCCTGTCCTGCGTCTGCACTCTGACAGAGGTGGTGAGTTCTCCTCCGACCTCTTGCGGGAATTTTGTCATGGGGAGGGCATTCTCCAATCGTTCAAGCTTCCGGACTCCCCTCAGCAAAATGGGATTGCTGAGCGCCGCATTGGCCTGGTCATGGAGGTTGCTCGTACCTCCATGATCCATGCGGCTGCTCCCCATTTTCTGTGGCCGTTTGTGGTCCTGTACGCTGCGCATCAGCTCAACCTCTGGCCCCGTGTCTCCTTGCCGGAGACCTCGCCTACACTGCGTTGGACGGGGAAGGTTGGCGATGCGTCGGTGTTCCGGGCTGGGGTTCTCGTGCCTTTGTTCGCGATACGTCTGCGGACAAGCTCTCTGCCCGCGCTATTCCCTGCGTCTTCCTTGGTTTTTCCCCTAACGCGCCTGGCTGGCAGTTTTACCACCCCACCTCGCGCCGTGTCTTCCCCTCTCAGGACGTCACTTTTGACGAGTCGGTTCCCTTTTACTGTCTCTTCCCCTACCGCTCTGCTCCTCCCCCACCCCCGCCGCTCTTCCTTACTCCAGGTCCCCCTCCGGTGGACCCCCTCCCCCACCCCGGGTCCTGCTCCCTCAGGTGTGTCTCAGGTAGACCCTCCCTGGTACTGCGCCTGGTAGCTGTCGACTTAGGTGCTGCCCGAGGTGCTGCGTCTGGGGGTGCTGCGTCGGGGGATGCGGAGCCTGGGGGTACTGAGTCTGAGGGTGCCGGGTCTGGGGGTGCTGAGCCTGGGGGTGCGGAGCCTGGGGGTGCTGAGCCTGGGGGTGCTGAGCCTGGGGGTGTGGAGCCTGGGGGTGCTGAGTCTCAGGGTGTAGAGCCTGGGGGTGCTGAGTCTGAGGGTGCGGAGTCTAGGGGTGCTGAGCCGAGGGGTACTGCTTCTTCTGGAGATCATGCGCGTGCTCCCGGTAGGCATCGAAAGGTGCACTGGGATGTTGCGAAAAGGGTACCGCGTTACTTGTGCAATACGTCGGGCATGGGGCTCGTGCTTGGAGGACGGGGTAAAGTTGTCCTCACTGGTCACGCAGACGCTTCCTTGTTTGACGACTCAGCTACGCAGCGGTCATCACAGGGTTACACCTTCAGCCTCGGTTCCGGCTCTATTTCCTAGTGGTCTACCCGCTCGTCTTCGGTTCTCGGCTCCAGTTGTGAGGCTGAGATCTACGCAGGGGCCATGGCTGCACAGGAGCTACGCTGGCTCACCTACCTGCTGACTGACTTGGGAGAGCAGCCTCGTTCGCCTCCAGTTCTGTACGTCGACAACAAGGCCATGATTGCCTTGTGTCAGGAGCACAGACTGGAGCACAGAACGAAGCACATCGCTCTGCGTTACTTCCTTGCTCGAGAGTTGCAGCAGCGTGGCCAGCTTCGTCTTGCGTACGTGGCCACTAGGGCTAACACTGCTGATATATTCACCAAGGCACTTCCGCCTAGTGATCATCAGCGCTTCTCTACTGTGTTAGGCCTTGTGCCTACTTTGCCTCACTTGCTCGCTGCGTGAATTTGCTTGTACTGTGATCTATATATATACCTGCATGCTTACACTTGCTAGGGTATGATCACTGTATTATTTGTTCTCTTTTGTAGAACTCTGCATGTGAACTGGCCTTGTGGCCCTTTGCTTGTGCTCGGACTGTGTGGTGACTTTGTGATCCACCCTGAGCTTGCTTTGCTTTTCTTGACTGGTCTTGTGACCGCTTGTTCTCCCCCACTTTGCCTATGGGGGTGTGTCAGAATGTTATGTTGCTTACAATTGTGTAGGCTATAGCGGGGTAGCCCATAGGGGGTACAACCCAATTAGGGTTAATACTTGTACCCAACTGTTTCATAGTTCATTCATTCTCGTTCATTCTTCTGACAAGGGGGAGATCCTCCACTGTCTCACATCCTCCCACAGTAGATCTTCCCAACACCTATTGAGAATCTAGAAGTTTCTCCACTACGAAGGTATGCGCTATGTTGACAAACTGATGTTCTACATTTCGTTTCCACTACTTATAGACTTGCGTTTTGTTTTCATATGAATTTAGAGACTATGATTTGTATTTTGTCTGGATTTCCAGTTCAGCCAAAAAACATCGTCTAACGGTCAGACGAAGGAAAAAAACCTGGTCTGATTTTCAGAGGGGGTTTTTAACTAGCAACATCCCTGACGTCGCCATTCCGCAATGTTTGGAGTTGTTGCTCCAGGCTGGTGAGTCGCTGAAGCATCTGTGCGAGGGCGGCGGTTCCAATTCGTCGTCGTTTTCTCGCTTGTCGCAGCCGGTTTTGTCTGCGCTTCAGCCGTCAGATTCGTCTGACCCCCAGATCCTTCGGCCATTCTCACGCGTGAACGTGTGTTGGACGCCACTTTCCGTTCGCCGAAGATTTCGGAGGTGGCAGTGCGAAGGATTCCCGAGTCGCTCTCATAACATGTTGCGATCAGATGTTGATCGTACCTAGGATCACCTCAGGAAGGTTCTGTTAAAAACAGGAATGAAAGTTAGAAACGAGAAAAAGGGGTTTTCACTAGCAAGCAGTTGAGTACATATAACAAACCCTAGATTGGGCTGTACTCACTATTGAGTACCCCACTGCAGGCTAGACAAACATAACATTCTGACACACCCCCATAGCCAAAGTGGGGTGTAATCAGCACAACAAGCAAAGCAAAACAAGCTCAGGGTGGATCACAACGTCACCACATATTCTGAGCACAAGTACAAGAAGCAGCAGTTTATAGTTCACAAATATAAGCAAGCTAGAGGCAGTCACAGACGGTAAGTGAGGAGGAGGAGGGACTGTGAGAGGAGAAGAGATAGGAGACGACAGGTGAAGCTGCAAAAACACGGGCAACAGGAGCGGCGCGCACTGTGGCTACCGGAGATTGTAGCCTCTGGACTACTGGAGTAACTGGCTCTGCGGCTAACTCTGAGCGGCAGGAGCAACGGACCCACGGGCGACTGGCGCAGCAGGCTCGCTGGGCTACCGGAGATTGTAGCCTCCGGACTACTGGCGCTGCTGGCGACACGACAGCTGCCTCCGCCCAACCTCCCTCTAACTGTCTCAACCCCCTATCACACACCCCTTGCTGCACCCCTAGGTTCACTCACACTCCACCCCCTAGCACCACTCCGTCGACTCACACACACCCACCCCCCTCAGCGGCAGCTGCAGCAGTGGGAGACGGAGAAGGAGGAGGAGCAGGGGATGCCACACACCCTCCACCCAGCTTTCACCCCCATACTCGCCACCCCAAACCCCAACACAGGGTAGGGCCGCGACGAAGACGGGGGCAGGGCCGGGCAGGGCAGGGCCGGGACAGGGCCGGGGACGGACAGCAGGGCCGGGCAAAGCAGGGCCGGGCAGGGCCGCGACGAAGACGGGAGGGGCCGCGCGCGGCCCCCCCCAGGGTCGCCTCGACTGACGACGGGAAGGGGGTCACGCGCGGGCCCCCAAGGGCGCCACGTCGGGCGACAGAAGGGGGGGCCGCGCGGGCCCCCAATGGCGCCACGACGGGCGACGAGGGGGCCGCGCACGAGCTCCGCGGGGCGACGAAACCGCCGTGCGCCCCGAGGCGCGCGACGGGCAGGGCACCGTCGCGCGCCACGGGGCGCATGACGGGCAGATCAGGGCGTCGCGCTGCCCCCAGGGCGGCGCGACGAGCAGAAAACCGCCGCGCGCCCCTAGCGCGCGGCGGGAAGAAAAAAGGCCGCGCGCCCAGTGCGCGCCCGAGGCGCGCGATAGGCAGTGTTGACAGCGGAAGCTTAGGTGAGCCCATCCACAGGATCGACCCGAGGGGGTCGACCTGCTCTGATACCATGTTAAAAACAGGAATGAAAGTTAGAAACGAGAAAAAGGGGTTTTCACTAGCAAGCAGTTGAGTACATATAACAAACCCTAGATTGGGCTGTACTCACTATTGAGTACCCCACTGCAGGCTAGACAAACATAATATTCTGATAGGTTCAACACCTCTCACTTCCAAAAGTACCTCGTGAGGAGGGAGAGGGTTGTCAAGCTACAGTATATTTGTATTAGTAGATAGGCTGTAGTGAGTTGAGGGGAGGTAATGCGGTGAGGGGGATGAGGGGAGGGAGATGAGGGGAGGTGGATGGGATGAGAGGAGGGGGATGAGGAGAGGGGATGAGGTGAGGGGGATGAGGGGAGGGGGATGAGGGGGGAGGGATGAGGGGAGAGGGATGAGGGGAGGGGGGTGAGGTGAGGGGGATCAGGATTAGGTGAGGGGGGTCAGGATCAGATGACGGGGGTCGACTAAAAAACCACCATTATTCTTCTACAAAGGTCTTTAAGCAAGCCTACTAAAAAAAAAAAAAACAAAGAAACAAACAAGCTGCTGCCACGCAAAGTCATGCCTCTAAAGTGGGGTTCCATAAAACTTTTGGGTCGAATCAAAAGTCACCTTGCAGGGCAGACTGTGTCATTCAATTCTGTGCTGCATTCGAGCATCTCGCCCAATGCACCTCACACGTACACGCAGCTTCCCACCCCCTCCCTCGCCCTCTCCCTCCTCTTCCCCCTTCCGCTCTCCCCCGACTCTGACTGCAGGGATAGGGCTGCATCTCGCAATTCTCTGGACTGCATACCTGCATCTCGGCCAATGTTCTTGCATGCAACACATGCCTTCGCATCCCATCCCATCCCATCCCATCCCATCCCATCCCATCCCATCCCATCCCATCCCCTCCCCCATGACTGTGACTGTGGCTGCAGGGTTCAGACTGTGTCTCCCAGTTCTCCGCACTGCAGTCGTGCATCTCTGCCAACGCCTCTCACTTCCAGCAGTACCTGGCGGAGGAGGGCGAGGGTGAACTGTTGAATGCACCCGCAGAGGCGGATGGGAAATCCTAACCGCAGCAGTGCGCAAGCAAGCAAGGCTCCCTCTTTCAGCACTTCTCCGCACTGCAGTCATGCATCTCTGCCAACGCCTCTCACTTCCAGCAGTATCTGGCGGAGTAGGGCGAGATCGACCTGCTGAATGCACCTGCGGATTCAGATGGAAAATCATAGACTGCAGCAGTGAGCAAGCAAGCAAGGCTCCCTCTCTCAGTCCTTCTCCGCACTGCAGTCGTGCATCGCGGCCAACACCTCTCACTTCCAGCAGTACCTCGTGAGTAGGGAGAGGGTTGTCAAGCTACGGTATATTTGTATTAGTAGATAGGCTGTAGTGAGTTGCATGCTAGGGGGTACAGAAAATCCCTTGACGCTTTGCTTGTACCCCCCCCTTTGACCTAATCTCATGAGTCTCTAAGTCCCTTGGTTTTTGAGAAGGGTGGCCTCTTGAAGGCATCATCATGATTGCAGTAGTGAGCAAGCAAGAAAGAATTTCATCTCGCCTCTGTCGTGCGAATCACGAATTTCCACCGTGTCAGCAAGCAAGACTTTCATTGGAACATTCTTACAAGGTCGATTGCTATTAATTCTTATATGGTAGTTGAGTCTGTATTAAATGGCAGTGTGTAAAAAAAAAAAATATACGGTAAGAAATCTACAACTTAAATATCCGACATATCGTGAAGGGGATAAGAAAAGAATATCGGCAGCCTGCCTGTAGGAGGGGCCCGAGAGGTTGAAGTCCCTCGTGCCAAATATTGGTGCTCCTTAGTCCTGACACATCCACAGTAGGGCAAACCTGAGCCAGGGTGTCAGAAAATCGTGTGTCATAACATATTCTGACGCGTCAGTGCCAGATTCGTGCTAAAGGGCGGGTGCGTATGGCGATTCGTACATCTTTGAAACGATCAAACGCGCAAGGGTGAGAATCAACTGGGGGTGCAACAGGTTGAAATGCATAGATACTTATAGGATTCTAAGTGCTTTGCTTCTGAGTAGCACAATCATGAAGTAGTTAAATTTTGAGGCTCCATACAGCAAAATTATGTATATTACAATAAAAACGAGAGATGGTGTATCAAGGTTGGCACTCATTTGAATGTCAACCTGTTGTGATCAAATGTTGATCGTACCTAGGATCACCTCAGGAAGGTTCGCACACGTCTGAGTAGTGGTGGGCCCTTGACCTCAATAGCAGAGTAGATGTAAAATGCTTGAGATGATAATAACATGCGAATATAATATAGGAATATAAATAAGAGTACAAGGGAATTCGAATCGACCTAGGCTAGCCATGTATTCTAAGGGGTACATTCCCTCATTGCAGCGAAACCCAACCGTGCGACTCCAGACGGCTACAAATTGCCTGGGCAGAATCCTCGCCACTACTGCTTCCTGACGCTTTCTGCCCGTTGGTCCAGATCCCTTCGTAACCGTGCGACCCTTCGCGTCACTTCCACCTCTTCGTCTTCAGCCTCGGTAGCGTGTGCTGCGGTAAGGAGTGCACAGTAATGCTTCATCTTTTACTATTCGTAACACAACCTTGCACCGCTACTAAATCCTCGTCCACCATCTCTGGAAAGAGGTCATCCCACCAATTTCTATCCACTTCATCTTGAGCCCCCTTGCCTTCGTTGTAGGCACACATTTGAAGAATTGTGGGCCCATCCAAGGGTGAGGATCCATCCAACGATGCGGGCCCATTCAATGGTGAGGATCCACCCAATGATGAGGGCCCATCCAATGGTGAGGATCCACCGAGCGATGAGGGGCCATCCAACGGTGGGGACCTATCCAATGGTGATAGGCCATCCAATAACGAGGGGCCATCCAATAATGAGGGCCCATCCAGCTTCTCTCCCACTTGCTTGCACGTCTCGGCCTCCTCATCCAGACCACAGATGTCAATCGAATCATGCGAGCCAGCTTTATCCGAGCTCCCAGGCGAATCCCTTTGCTGCTGCGGATGCCCTCTCGCATGGAGTTCCTGGCACAGGCGCTGCATGGATGGCATCTGAAGCAGCTGCACCTGTGACCCCTGCCGAGATGAGCGCTGCGCCATGGGTGCTTGCACCAGAGGTTGTTGTACCAGGGGTGCTTGTACCAGGGGTACTTGCACCAGGGGTGCTTGCGCCAGGGGTGCTTGCGCCAGGTGTGCTTGCGCCAGGGGTGCAGGAGCAACAGCCATCCAATGGGAAGCCTGAAGGCAACCCGTGGGTGCAGGGGCCTCGTCTGCTACCATGGCCAAAGAATGTTGCTCCATAGTCCCAGGAGCCATTGCTATGCTCTGAGGCGGGGCATGGTCATGCACCATGGGGCAAGGGGAAGCCAGTGCTATCCTCTGGTTTGCCTCATCATGCACCATGGGCCTGGGAGGAGCCTTGCTGCGGGAGCTGCAAACAGAGAGGGTTCTCAGTAGCACACCGCTGAGCATCCTGGGAGTGTTGGGTCGGGGAGAGGTGGTTGTGAAGCAGCTTCCAATCGACTCCTCTGATGATGAGACAGGCTGAGAAGCACATGGGGTATTTGCCGAAGGAGCCCAGTTGACGGGGGGGTGTGATAGGTGTGAAGGGTATGATGGGTGTGGGTATGGTGGGTGTGGGTATGGTGGATGTGAAGGGTATGGTGGATATGGTGGGTACGATAGGTATGGTGGATACGGTGGGTGTGATTGATATGGAGCAGCAACAGCAGGAGGAGGAGGCGGAGGAGAAGCGGCAGGAGAAACAGCAGAATTAGGAGCAGCAGCAAGAGGAGGAGCAGGAGGAGGAGGAGCAGCAGAAGAAGGAGGAGGAGCAGGAGCAACAGCAGGAGCATGAGTAAGAGTAGGGGCAGGAGCAGCAGAAGCAGCAGCAGCAGCAGCAGCATGGTCAAGGGAATGAGCAATGGGTTGTCTGATTTCTGGGGCTGTGAGCTGGGAGGAGTGGGAGATTGGTGTGTTGTCATGCGATTGCCTGGTGATGCTGGGGTGTGCTGCTTCCCCTGCCCGTCTTTTCGAATGCGATGACGTCAGCATGTACCAGCTGCAAGGTCGAAAGGGGGAGGGAAGGGAAAACGGGAAGGGGAATGGTGGTGAGATAGGGAGGAGTCGGGCAGTGACGGAAAAGTTTGTTGAGTGGTTTTTTTTTTTTTTTTTTTTTTTTTTTCGAGGATGCATTGTTTAAAAGTGAGGGCAGCGGGCAGAGGCAGAGGGAATTGGGCAGAGGGCAAGGAATGGGAGAGAGGAGAGGGAAGGGGTAGGAGGGAAGCGGAAAGAGGGCAAAGGGCAAAACGTAGAGGGGAGGGAAGAGTCGGGAGACGAGAGAGGGGAGAGGGGAAAAGGAGAGACGAAAGGCGAGGAGAAGGGAGAGGGTACGAGGGGAGAGGGTAGAGGGAAGAGGGGAGATGGAGAGGGGATAGGGGAGAGCGGAAGAGGAGAGAGGAGAGAGGGGAGAGGGGAGAGGTAAGAGGTCAGAGGTACGAGGTAAGGGGTAAGAGGGAAGAGGGAAGAAATAAGAGGGGGGAGAGGGGAAAGGGAGAGGGGAAGGGGAGAGGGGAGAGGGGAGAGGGGAGAGGGGAGTGGGGAGAGGGGAAATGGGAGAGGGGAGAGGGGGGGAGGGGGCAGGGGGTAGGGGTTAGAGGGGAGAGGGTATAGGGGAGATGGTAAAGGGGAGGAGGGTAGAGGGGAGGGGGGAGGGGTTAGAGGGGAGAGGGTAGAGGGTAGAGGGGAGAGAGGAGAGAGGGGAGGGGAGAGGGGAGAGGGGAAGGAGGAGGGGGATGAAAGATGAGGGGAGAGGGGAGGGGAAAGAGACGAGAAAGGAGAAGGGATATGTGAGAGGGGATTGGAGAAACGGGAGGGGGAAGAGGGAGGAGGGGAGAAGAGAGCGGGAAGAGGAGTTTTCAACGTTTATCCTTATCACCTTATCGCCTTGTGCTCACCTGAGCGCCTTGTGCTCTGCGTCGTACAGCTGTCGCTTCCTTGTCTGCTGAACCACCTGGGGCGGCTGCATCGCTTCCTCTAACAGCTGCCACTGCTGCGCTATCACGGCCCTCGCCTTGTCTTCCTCCTGCTGCTTCGCCTGATCTTGATGTTCCTCCTCATGCGTTTGATGCCGCTGCTGAGCTATTGCCTGCTTCATGTCCTCCTCCTGACCCTCCTCCTCCTCCTCCTCCTCCTCCTCCTCCTCCTCCTCCTCCTCCTCCTCCTCCTCCTCCTCCTCCTCCTCCTCCTCCTCCTCCTCCTTCTCCTGCTTCTGCTCATTAATTTGATGACGTTGATTATGATGCTCCTTCTGCTGCTCCTTATGCTCCTGCAGCAGCTGGTGCTGCTGCTGCACGTGTGCAGGAGAGGGCGGAGGAGAGGAGGTGCGCGCAGCCCTGCAGGAGAGCCCAGCAGGATCAAGGGAGAATTCAGAGGGACCGGAGGAGGGGTAGCTTCTGTCGCCCGTGAGACCGGACAGTGAAGCAGCCCCGGAGTGCGGAGAGTTGAAGGGCGGAGAACTAGAGCTTCGAGAGAAAGAGATCATCAGGTGATGCTGCTGATTTTGCGCAGCCTCCGCGCCAGCTGCTGCTGCTGCTGGATGCCTGTTGTCGCTCTGACAGGCTGTCGTGGGAGCAGCGGGCTCAAGCGCGGCAGTGGGGTGGGTGTCCGCATCGGCTGAGGAGGAGGGGATGGTGCTTTCAGGTGCAGAGGCGAGGGGGGTTTGGGCAGGCGTGGGGGGAGATGCAGGCATGGCGGTGGCGGAGGCCGCGGCGAGCATGGGGGAAACTGCGGGCAAGACGGGAGATGCCGGCAAGAGAGGAGAGGCCGGCAAGAGAGGAGCGGCAGGAGCAGGTGCAGCGACGGAGGAAACAGGAAGAAGCGGTGTTGGCACTGGCAGGGTTGATGGCGAGCTTGTCGCCGGAAACGGCTGCGCAAAGGGCGCCTGGCCTCGAAGAAACTTTCTGCAGAGGGGTCGCAGGGTGGTCGAAAGCGAAGAGAGAGAGCAATGCGAAGCGGTTGAGTACGGTGAAGCGGGGTGAGTACTGTGAGAAGTAGGGTGAATTCGGTGAGTAGCAGTAAGGTGGGTGGAGTGAGCAGAGCCTCTGAGTGAGCAGGGATAATGAGTACAAGTGCAGGGTTTAGTTTTGCACAAGGCATTTGGGTTTTTTCTAGCTTCTAGCGCACCTTTTTAGGAGCAGGAACCGGTTGCAGCAGGCCTTGGCGTCGCGGTGAGGGGCCAAACGCCTGCTCCGGTGTAAGTCGTGCCACTTGGAGCTTCCATGAGTCATGACGTGGTTCAGCAGTATCGTGTCCTCCTGTAACGGGGATTTTGAGAGTGGAAGGAAAAAGTCACAGTTGAGATCAGATGGGGTACATTTTGAAGCTCGAAAGGCTAGTTTATATGGACACTCGGACTTGCACTTGTCGAGCTCTGTAAGAACGTGGTCAGACTGAGCTCTTCGAAAAATAAGCTCCGTTTCGTACAAACACACACACACACACACACACACACACACACACACACACACACACACACACACACACAAAACCGGCTCCGTAAAAACAAAAACAGGATCCGTAAAAACCAAGTCGACCCAACCTTTCCGACACCAAGCTCTGTCTAAACAACCATTGTCAAAAACCAAGTTCTGACGAACCCCCAAACAGACGTATTCAAGTTATCTATGTGCGAACATTGCATTTTACCTCAAAAGTCCACCGTGCAGCGTAATGGCGCTGCGTGACATGCGGAGCTCTAGCCGCCATCATCATGGCCGCAAAATCCGGCTTGATGAATGCCGAAGGCGGCTGGAATATCCTTATACGCCTTAGTAGTAGGCTCGTGACTCTTGAGATTGTCCTGAAGCTCAGTGAAAACCGGAAAGTTTTGTTCACTAAGCTATTTGGCCGCACTGCAGGCAAACTACTACTTCTACTAGTAGCAGAAGACGAACCTCCTCCTTCAGAAGCAGAAGCTAATGTAGCAGGTTGAGATGAACAGAAGAAGTACTGCTACTGTTCTAGCGGAAGGGGACCGTGGAGTGGAGGAGGAGGTCCTTGTGCACATGAAACTTGTTTGGAAAAACAGCCTTAGAGAATGTCTGACAGGTCACGCAGTTTGGCGGCAGGTGAAGAGGATCACCGATTCACCTCACCAGTCATTGCTTTCTGCGGCGGGCTGAGTAAGAAACGTGCAAGATCGGGTGGAAAGTAGGGCGGTGCATCCACGTGGCCGATACTGATTCACTCTGTGGCCTTTGGCATTGCTGAAAGGCTCATCACGTGAACCGACAAGGGCCAGCTCGGCTGGAAGTTGACAAGGCGACATCGGAAATGCTGATGGCAGAGTTTGCTTATCCCTAGCACCAATGAGGACCCAGAGAGTTCCCATCACGATGGAAGGCGTTTGAGATATTTGGACAGCAAATGCATGCTGCACGTCAGACAACGCCTGATAATTGCGTGGCTGGCAGGGGAGAATCACTATGTTGGTGGTGCCTCCCGCCTGTCCTACTCTTGACGTTAGCGGTTTCGAAATCTCGACGTGTGTTTGCGGGGGACGAAGGACATGAGGGTGTTTCCGGTCCGGCTCACGCAGCATATGTACAGGCATGCTTGATGCCCGCTGCTATATGCCACCCTCCACAGCCGTTAACTCCAAATCGCGACAACGAGACCTGGGAAAACGGACAATTGTCCGCACTATAGTGAAACGCCCAATCCCTTTGCCTAGCAACAACTTGTCTGTCCACACAGATGTTGAATGGGCGTGGGTTGACAAGACAAATCCCAAATCCCCAAACCCTGACGTGGCTTATCATTTCTCGGCTGTCCCTGACGTTCCCTGGTTTCCCAGCCTGGATACCCGAAAATGTTTGTTTTCACGTGTCAAATACACCCTACCCTCCCAGTGTATCCGAGGGTAGTGAAGGTTCGGTTCGGCCAATATTTACCGTCGAATAAATTGTCGTTACGAAAAAAGCTGAGCCGCAATGGATGGTACAGTGCACAATGTCGGTGATTTGAGGATCACATATCTCCTCCCTTCGGATTGCGGGCTGCAGTGATACACCTGAAAACGGCCAGATGGGGGGAAGCCAGACAAAGAGATCACGAGTCGCGCGAAAAGGCATATGCGAATCAATTTCACAAAGGCATCTCTTGCTAGTATCGAGTCGCATGCCACCTAGGCGCCGAACAAACATGAGTGGAAAGCGCGGAACTGTCGGATTCTCCACATCATCCAATAGAGTGATCAATCGGTGAAAACTAACGCCAACATCAGCAAGGCCAAATCCATGTGGCATTATGGTGTTCCTTCCTCCCAAGGAAACTGTGTGTGGCACCTCCAAAATCAGTCGCACTATTAAAATAAATAGATGTGAAGTGTCTAGACTGGAGGACCCACTATCACTGAGATTTCACCTGCAAATGAAGCCTTTGTCTTTGAAATTCTCACCTCGCCTGAAACATTGCTCACTCTGATAAGTTATATACCAATAGAATATTAACGATGATTCAATCAAAGGATTCTACAATCAACTTTTCTTAACACAACTATTACCGTATTACCCGTGAGGCGCTAGCTTATTATAAGCGCATGCGCTTCTATCCGGAGCATTGTGTCGAATGTTGGGGGTAGGCTCTATGGAGTTGCATCTTAGGGGGTATATATGAAACTCTTGACATTCTCCTTGTACCCCCCTCACCAGGGCTCTCTTTTCGTTTTAGGGCACTCTTCCAAATCAAGGTTCCCGCCACTCGCCGGGTGGCACGCGGGCAAAATCAGGGTAGTGGCAGGGTATTTTTTGCCACATCTGATTTGTGGCCGGGTGATTTTTTCGGGGACCCTGTTTTGCAGTGCTCTTTAGGCACAACTCGGCCTCCAACTCTAAAATGCACATTCTCGATAGCAGGTATTGTGACTGGCATGCTCCACATCTGTCTCTGCGAGTCTCAGCACTTGGGCTTTTTTGTAACCAGCACAGATGAGTTTGCCATTGCGGAGAGTCACCACACAACGAGAGTGGACTACGGCGGAAGGCACGAGGTTGTGCGGGTGATCGTAGCATTGTATTAGGCGTTCTCAGTACTTGCTGTGTTCATACGGACATTTGGCAAGAGTTTCACTAAGAAATTGAGAGAACATTAGATTACAAATGAGGCATGCAAGTCGATATAGGTAGAATGGCATTGCAACACCTAGCAAGCCCTCTGCAGGGCGAACTATGCCAGCGCAGCAGAAGAGCGGCTTGCCAATACTGCAGCAGAGTAGTCCGTCAGCATTGCATCGCAACGGTCTACCAGCGTTGCAAAGGCAGGTGAACTTCTGCGCATGTGCGCACCTACCAAGTAGGTGCAGGTAGACGGTCGCGCCGCCAGGCACACTGCGCAGGTGCCAGGTAGAACGCGTGGCGACGGTTTTGCCAGCGGTGCATCGTCGAGCACGTGATGCCGTTCCGCAGGTCGACTTCGCGAAAACCTCCTGAGGCGAAGTTCGCGCACATCTGCGACCTTCACAGGTGAGCAGCTTCGGTTGGGTGATTCGACGCTGCTCCGTCGAGCATCCTTCGCTGAGACGAGCCCGCCAAACTGTACTTGTTAACCGATCTCGTCGAGGAGCTCCTATACCGGCCTCGTATAGGAGCTCCTATACCGGCCTCGTCGAGGAGCTCCTATGCCGAACTCCTTGACAGGCTCGTCGACCAGCATCCTCTACGAGCTCGTCGACAGCGTCCTGCTCGTCGACCGCGTCCTCTGCGAACCCGTCGACCGCGTCTTCTGCGGAAGCGTCGAGGTCGAACTATACGGACAGGTCGAGGTCGAACTCTGCGCGTAGTCTACGACGACTTCTGCGCGCCCCCCGACTGCGAAGTCTCATTTGCCCAAGCGAGGGCGGGGCCAATTCCCGTCAACACTCCCCTACCGCGCTCACGCTTGGGCACCCCACATACTAGGTCTACCCAGAACCCAAGGGATAGAATCCCATCTGCGTGCACCCAACGCATAGCACGCATGTCATCGCACCAGCCGTGCAGAAGGGCACGTCACCTACTGCTGCACTTCGTCATCATCGTCGCCGATGTCGGCTAGGCGCACTTGGCCGATTGCGACGGAGCACCAGTTGAAGGCCGGAAAATGCAGCGCCTTTGTCAGAAAGTCGGCCGGCTGCTCGGTGGTCGGGATGTACTGCAGAGCAATCTTCCCGCTCTTCACCATGTGCTGCAGCCAGGCGTAGCGTCGCTCCATGTGCTTGAGGTTGCCCTTGACCCCCAAGCCCTCTTCGACAATGATGGCCGACTGGTTGTCCACGTGCAGCACGGTCGGCTTCCCAGCGTCGAGCAGCTGGAACTCTGCAAGGAGAAAGCGAAGGTGACGAGCCTCCTTGCCGGCTTCCATGGCCGCAACGTACTCCGACTCGGTCGACGAGAGCGTCGCGCATTTGATGCGCTGGCTCGACCAGGAGACTGCGGCCCCTCCGAAGACGAACACGTAGCCGCACGTGCTCGTCCGATTCTGCTTGTCGCCAGCATCGTCGGCGTCCGCATAGCCGACCAGACACAGCGACTCTGGTCCACCGCCGAACTCCAGAGCTGCATCACGGGTGTCGGCCAGGTAGTGCAGACAGCGGTCGACCTCGCGCCAGTGGTTGTCACTCCGCACTGTCAGGCCGCTCCCCAGCTTGCTGCACGCGAAGGCAATGTCCGGCCTCGTCGTCGTCGTCGCGAATTGCAGCGAGCTGACCTTCTGCCGATACTCCTCCTCTTCGCGCGACTG